ACAAGGAATATGTTGGTCACTGTATAGTGGGTGGGGAGATCAACAAATACTTTGTTAGATGTGTTAGCCAAGCAAGGGGTAAATAGGGAAGAATTGTTTTGGGCTCAGCTGTGATTCCTGTTTTTCTTTCCTAGTTTACTTGTAAGATTCAAGGAGGGGCTGCAGCTCACGCCTCTCCCTGGGATGTTGTATGAATTCACTCTAAATCAGCTTCTGAATTAATAAATTTATTATCATTCATCTAAAAATGTATTAGAACTTAGATGGGTCATGTGTAACGTACATCCATAATCTCTGAACTGGAAACTAGTAGGTAGAAATATACCAAGTCTTCCTCTCATTCCCTCTCTTTGGTACTCCTTTCTTCCCCAAACTTATTAACATTTGTTCTTTCTTCCATGGAAAAGGTGATTTGATGGCTAAAAAGCTAGTTTAGGTGAGTTGTTCTTTGATCAAAGACTTTGCAACTGCAACCTTGATTGTAGCATAGAAAACAATTTAGTAGGTGGAAATGTACTTAGACCCCCCCCCCCTCTCTCTCTGAACTGGAAACTAGTAGGTACAAATGTACTTAGACTCCCACTTATAGAAAAAAGTACTTAGACTCCTCGTTCCCTCTCTTTGGTATTCTTTTTCCCCAAACTTATGGCTGAAAGCTTTGTATAGGTGCCCACCAGAGTTATTCTTTGAATTAAAAACTTTGCCACTGTAACCTTGAGTGTAGGATAGAAAACAATCTAGTAGATCCACACTTCAAATTGTGCCTTTCAACCTTTTGCAGGAAGCCTGTGTGTGTGTGTGTTTGTGTGTGTGTGTGTGTGTGGTACATGCATATGTGTACAAGGAGAGAGACACAGACTAAGGTTTGAATCCATAAACGCACCTACAGTCTCACCCACCTATCATCCTCCTGTATGCATGTTTGTGTTGGGGGTGGGAATATCACCTATGGAACCAGTTAAATCAAAAGTTGTCCCTGTGCAAGGGCCTTGTAATTTTTCTTTCAAATTTATACTCTAAATCATAGTTATCCAATTTAAAAGGTGTAGTAAGATGGGGTTCAGAATTTGAAGAAAAGAGAGATGAGAAAGCATTACATATAATGGAATGAAATGTGATGTTTTTTGAGGAAAAAAATTGTAAAACGAACTTATGAGGAGAATTCAATTATTACACTAATGAATAAAGCATATTTCATGTAACTTTAAAGGGAAAGATATTGAGGTGAATCAACAAATCTACTACTAAATAGGATAGGCAAAACTTCTCTTGAGAAATCAAGACAACCTAATTGCCTCTTGTTGCCTTTTGTTTGAATATCATATCACATGATTGTTAGTCCTGTCAATTTGATTGATGTGCAGTGATCTTTCTTTTATTTTCTTAAGTAGTCAGAGAGAGTTAGCATGTGAAGAGATCTTAATTGTTCAAAGGTTTTATAAGCCTTCTATTTCCATTTCTTATGCTGATATTTCATCACAATGCATGTTAGGAAGACTGTTACGAAATGTGCAACCTGAGTTGATGGAAGCTTTAATCCAGGCCTCGAAAGATGGTGACCAGATTAAGTTTCAGGCTTTAGCTGGTACAGAAACTTGGCTTATTGAAGAGGATGATGAAGAGGAGGAAGAAACTGAATATGAGGAAAATGAGGAGGTAAACTACAACGGGTATATCTTTTTTTTTTTTTTACAGAAAATGTAGTGATACAATTATAATTGAAAAGTCAGGGATATAATTGTTTTAAATATTGAAGCTTGTCTGAAATTGTACCAAAAATTGATTACCCCATAATAAGGCCCATTTTACTGACTTGTAATTCAGTTGAATATTGAAATACAATCAGTAGGGTACTCTGATCTATCTGAACATACATTCAGACATCCCTTTTCCCATCCTGTACTCGTAAATGAAGAAAAAAGAAATTGAGGAACTTGCTTATTCATGCATAAGTTGGGGCTATTCATCACTGAGAAGTCTGAGTTCCTATTCACTGTTATTATATGCTTCCAGGGGTGCCATAATGACATGGATATGGCAATGAGATGGTTTGATGGCCTAATTTACAAGGATGTGGATATTACTAATGAAGTTTATTCAATTCACAATGTTGATTTTGACCGTCAGGTAAGCTAATGCAACTTTCATGTTCTTTTCTGATTAAGCTAAACATGCAACTTCATGGTTGAACATGTTGGGCCAAGATATTTTAGGACATTAACCAGAGTTTCTATTTTTTCATCATATTTTGCTAAGCATATGAATGGATAGGAAAAGTGAGGAGGTATATCTTGTTTTCCCTTTTCTTGTTTATGTTACTTTTATACAATTCCGTTTCTCAAGTGCTGGTTGTTGTTTGTTTGTCTTTGATGTTTTGACAACCTTACTTTTAGATCAATATTTAACTTTACTTTGATAGCAATACTTTGTTAGGATTTAAGTGTATTATATTAGTTCTTTTTTTTCATTAGATTCAGTTAGGGTTGTTGATGGGTTGGATTCAGATCAGATAAGCCTAGACCTAAGTTTGATCTGATTAAATATTTAAGACATTTAGATTGCATTTGGATGTAGGCCATTGCTCGGTGAAGTGGTAAAATCATGGTCTGACAAGCATGAGACAGGGGTTTGACTCTAAGAGTGGCCATTTTGTGCCAACAAAAGAAAATGCCAAAGATTATGTCTTTTGCCAGGTCTACCCCTCCCAAGATCTCAGATATCTAGGACCACCATTCTTTGGATTGGGCTTGGATACATTCTTTCAAAATCAATTAAAGACAACTTTAATGAGACAAACTGGTATTTGTTTTTGGGTTAAAACTAAACAATTTTACCAACTCTACTAATAAGTATATGTTTGTTATAGCATTACATGTATTGCCCATATTTTTTTACCAGCAATATGTGTATACCTATATCGTTACAACAGCACTGCTACTTACAAGACCTTGTAACAATGCTGATCCTATGAGTGCATGCACCAAGTCCCTATAATATTAGTTTCTGTTCTTTGTCAGAGGATTTGGCAAAGGAGTAAATTTTGAGGTTTTGGCTGGATTCAGTTCGACCAGGCCAAGTAATACCTGTAATCCTGTATGTTGCAGAGATTTTGTTGAGGGATGGCAATTTAAATATCAAGTGCATTGGTTCCCTTGGATTGGGCTTTTTACTGATGAAAATATGTTTGCTTTCTGTTGTTTTGAAGATGGTGCTTCTTCATTCACCCACTGGATGATGATGATGATGAATGATCTATACAATGAGATGATATAGATTCACTTCCAGTAGCCCAGTATCCATCCACTGCTACTTATTAGCCAATTCATATAATGTTTAAAACCTTAAATTTAAGTCAGGAAATGCATGTGCGGTTATACTGTAAATACTTGATTGACACAAGTAAGCTTGATGGTACAAATCATTAGTTTTATTTAAATTTTGATTACTGTTGCAAGAATGTTATTAGCATTACAATGCTTTAGAAGTTTGCCTCAGATTCGGAAAAACTAGGAGGATAAGGGCATCTTTTAGATCATGCTATACCTTGGTGAAGATCGGAATTAGTGCTTTTGAATTCTTTACAAGTTAAAACATGACATTTTCTTTTCTTTATTGATTGGTGCTATGCTGTGATTATTTCTTATGAATGGTATCTTGTTACAGGAATTGCGTAAACTTGTCCGAAGGGTACATTCTTTGCAAGAGCATCAACTCATTGAGGAGAAAGAGGGAGAAGCTAACCCAGCACTGGCAGTTGCAAACAAGAAGCTCCTTCGTTTCCTTAGTGCCATTGCAAAGCAAATGCCAGTGGAGTAAATTCTAAACATGTTTTTATGTCTTGTACCATAACTTCAATAGGTAAATTGGACGAATCACAACCAATTGATATTTATCAGATAGAGCAGCAGTAATTGATCCCCTAGTCATGATGCTCTGCGGTGTATGATCTATAGATTTGATTGTTCTACGCTTAGAGTCTGTTTGGTTTGCAGTCGGAATTGGAATTGAAATCCCTCGGAATCAGAATTGGAATCGGAATGATCTATTTGCATAATCTGTTAGGTCCAGACAGGAAACGGAAAATGAATTGGAATCAGTTGGAGTGGGATTTCATTCCCGAGGAAGAGGGAGTGGTCATTCCCACAAATGGGGTAATGCCACTCCATCGCAAATGGAAATGGGATTCCGGTTCTACTCAACCAAACATTGGGTCATTTCCATTCCGATTCCACACCTTTATTCCCACAAACCAAACGGGCCCTTAGTAGTTGATAGGTTGTGCATCAATTGAAATTATCAGAGATGGCAGCGCGGGAAAGGGCCATTGAACGGTACACTATGAAGAGTAACAAAGACTTGATGGATTGGTCCATATCGTAGGAGACAGATTGTTGAATAACACTACGCCCTTGTCTCTTTCAGATGCCTTGGTCATCTTGAAATTTTCAGGAGTATGGCTTTCTCATTGATAATGGGCGAGTGTTCTCAATTTTCAAAATGTGAATCAGATTTTATATCGTAGTACAGCTGAGCCGGAAGTAGACGACTAGTTTGAATCAAGGTTCAAAGTATTGATACATATGGGGGGGGCTTTCCGATATGTCCTTATAGGGGGTGTTTCGGGGTTGATTGGTTCAGAGGGTGGATGGACTTTAAATCGGCCCCTCTGAACTAGATTTGAAAAAATAAAAAAAAAGCTATCAATACTGTCCGATATGCCACTACCGACATATCAGGCATATCAATATTTTGAACCTTGACTTGAATGTTGTGTTGGTTTAACAAGATTGACATCTTTGGATGATAAACCCACCTATAAATAAAAATTTGAGTTCTGCCCATATATGCTACCTCAATTTGCAATTCTGATTGGACTGCTTAAAACATGAACTTCAGAGTCTAGTTTTGCTTCATCCGTTCGGCGCTAGGCTTGTAGCAACCAAAACCTAGGTATATCAATGGCTACAACTTGAAAGGAAACTTTTGCGCTAATTGTGCCATCTTTTGTGCTTTACAAAGTTGTGTTACATGATCCGCTCATGGATAAATTCTGTCGTTGAAGAAATGCCATCGCCTGAACATCAATCCTTACCATGGTTTTCAAAATTAGACTGGACTGGATGGTTGGACTGGGAAAACCGGGAATGGTTATTTGACCAGTTTCGTTTTATCTCAGAACTGTTATTTTGGCCAAAAACCGTTGATTTGATCAGCAGATCAAACTGCTGACTTAGGTGTTTAAACCATTCGAACCATTCAGCGGTTTTGACTGTTTTTTTTTTATTTTTTTAATTTTGTCAGAATGGACGATTCGATTTTAAAAACCTTGATCTTTACTACGAACAGGCTTACATCATAATCCATTTTCCACTGTTGATGTTGGGATTTAAGAGAAACCTTTTCAAAAACTGGGAGTAGTTAGGGTGTGTTTTGGCTCAGGCGTAGTTCTTAAGTAACCTGAACTTAGCCCAATCCCAGTCTGACTCAACTACACATATGTTTACATGTATGCATTCATGCAAAATATGTAAAATTCCAATTTAAAGGTTTAAAATATGAAAAAATCTATACTGCGGGAAAGATATGTTACTGAAAGAGCTTTTGACCAATCAAAAGTCTCTTAGGATTGATAAATACCACCTCATTGGTTACCACTTTCATGTTTCTGGTTAATTGGTTACAAGTTTTAGAGCTGCAAATGGTATTTGATTGTATTTTGATAAATACCACGGTTACTAGTTTACTACTTTCTGGTTGATTGTTTTGCAAGTTTAAAGTTTTCATGATGTCATGTCTTTCTGGTATCATAGTAGTTGAATCCTTAAATATTGATATAAAATAGGTTCATGCAACACTTTAATACATAAGGCCTAATAAGTCTACCTAAGCCCAATTGACCAACACAAAGGAACTGATTGGATTGAATTTGGATAGGGGTATATCCAGTGCTTAAAAATTGATCCCAAGGCCGAGTTGTTTTTGCCTCTAGGTCCCGGGTTATCAGTTCGACTGTCTAGGTTGGCTGGGTCAGACCATGCCACGCCAATGTTTATATATTTCAAGTATATATATATATATATATATATATATATATATATGTGTGTGTGTGTGTGTTACATATTACTTAAATTTTAGATATGATATATGTATTATTTTATATTTAATTATATTTTTAATTCAGTTTTTTTTTTATTTATAAAGATATTAAAAATTTCGATTTGAGGCCAATAGGGTTTTTTTTCACGAAAAAAATGGGCCAATGATGCATAGATCTCAAAAAGTTACCTAAAATCAAAACAAAAAAAAAATCACCTCAATCGAACATCAGAGTGCAAAGTTATGACCTCCCAAAATTTACATACACGGTTAATATGCAACCCGTGACCTGGTCATCGGGTCAACTAGGTCAATGGTTCAACCATCTGGGTCTGATGGTTTTTCACCAAGTCAATGGGTTTTGACCTTTCTTTGGGTTTACTTAAATCAGACTTGAAATCTTGATCAAGTGTTGGTTCAAGCAGTTCAACCGGTCGAGTTAACAATGGGTTGAAAACATTGGGGTATATCTAAATCCACTCTGATAATGTCAGTACTATATCCTATTCAATCTGATGATCCGATGGATCTCACAAAGATAATTCGAATTTGAATCCATCAAGGATGTCAAATATTTGAATCTGATTTGTTTATAGTTTCTAAAATTTAACAAATTATTAACAGGAAAAATAAAACAATCTGTACAAAGAAAAAAATAGATTAAATCCTATTTTTTAATTCAATCCGATTCAAAAATCTGACAGGGGGATATCCAAATCTGGTAAAATATGATTATATTCGAATTCAAATTAGATAATGATATGGTCCATTTGAACTTTAAATTCTATTATGTCAAGTTTTAGTTCAGACTGAACAGATCAGGCTTCACCTTGGGCTCAGTGTAGGTTTGGGCCTTAGGCCCAATCTCATAGTAGCGAAGTATAGGAATCTAATATGAATGAACCTTTTTGAAAACCTTGTCTACATTGTTTATCATCATTGGACAAATGAAAAGGGGAATATTGGTACAAGATGGGATATTTGCTGCAACAAAGGATCGTCAACATGGAAGCAACCACATTTACATGGATTGCAGACTGCAGACTTGTGGTTGAAGAAGATGGGTGGCACCCATGGGGATTTGCCCCAACAGGAGTACCGTAAATTGTAGCTATTTTTATTTTTATTTTTTAAAAATAAAAAGAATATAACATTCTAAAAAAATTACAGCGAGTGGAGATCCCCATGAAGATGGTGGAGACAACATTGTCTCTGTTGCGGGGATGACAATGGCAGGCAAATTGTAAGTACAAACAGGAACAAGATAGCTAGATTTAAAGAAGTTGGGATTAGATGAATCTGATAGCTGTGGGATCAATCATTTCGTTCCATAGCTAGCCTTGCTTTTACAATGCGCATCTACGAACAGAACTGAATCCAATTCGTTTCTTTCTAATTTCTTAAATAGATGGAGAGAAAGAATCAATTGAACCCAGTCGAACTGAACACATCATTTTGGCGTAAGTACGCACACAAAGTTGAGATGATAGCAAGAAAAGTTGACTTTATATGTTGGTGATTGATCATTGACGTATGGTTTTACTTAACCAATTAATGTTACGAATTGATGTTAGAGAGTGAGAGAGAGCCGCGGGTATTTCAGGTAAAATGAATCCATGAAGTGAATCCCCCCAATGAAACTCTCAAACTTTTGTTCATCGTTGCTTGTACTGCTCGCCCAAGAAAAGAATGACACCGAGGATCCGGGGAAAGAGGCTAGGTTGGGTGGTCCGTGGTCGTCGTCCTCAAGATGACGCTGAAGGACTGGTATTCTGATTGAGGCAGAGGCAGTTCCCCATGCTGAACTAATATGGCCACCCAGCAGGTTGGTTTGCGTAAAGTAACATATTTACTTTGTCAAGTTCTCTCCTTTTCCACCATGGATGGGGTTAGGATGGAGGACGGCTTTTTCTTTAATTTTCGGCTGTGATCTATCCCTCCCTCCAGGCTCCATCTCCAGACTCTCCACATGTCCTGTGACCCAATGCTTGAAAAACCAAGGCCAAGGAGATGAGGACGCTTTTCTTATTCTTCAGAAATCAGAAGTGAGCTGAGCATTGTCATTGATTCTTTCTTTTTGAAGTCAATTAAAATTTAAAAGGCCATTAACTTTTACCTTTTCATCGCTCGCTTGCTCCTTTATTTGTCCAGCTTTGTCATCCCCACCCTGCTTGGCCCTTGCCCCCCCTATCCATGTTTGATACGAAAAACCATCCCCGTCTCAGTTCTAAAAAGAAACTCTCTCTCACACACACTCCATATGTTCGATTGAAAGTCCAAGCAAAAGGGAGATTGATTTTAGATACGTAGGCAGTAGGGTAGGCTTAAAATTACCATTCCCACTGAATGCCATGAACTCAATTAGAAAGGGCTTATATTCTTTCACATTCTCATCCAAAATACTAATCGCTTCGACCTCCTCTTTTGGATTTTGGAAGACGACATTAATTAGGGTACCCCCACCCAAGGAATCCGCATCATCAGGACACATGTTGTAGGTCTGTTTCACGCCTGGGGCGGTGGGAATATCCATCTCCTGTGTTAGAAAGTAAAGTTGATTTGACACCTTTATCTGATCAGTAAAAAGAAGCAAAAAAATAATAATAATTAATTGCATTTACGTGAGGGGGTTGCTGACTGGTGCGGGCGTGGAAAGATGGCGTTCCCAGTGGGTATGGGTGAGGTGTCGAGTCAGTGATGATGAATCACCTTCACTCCTCTCTATTTCTCTATTCTCTACTCTTGTCTGATTCCATCCAATTCAGGTTGACAGCACCGCACACTACACACATGCTCTTGGGCCCATGGAACATGTGCTAAGCCCATCTTATATGTCGAGTCGAGCTTTGTAAATGGGACCAACCAATGGCCTCGGTTTCGCTACATTAGGGATTAGGCATTGTGTTCACATGCTGCTGCATCCTGTGGATGTGATGTCAGCATCAATTGATTGCGATGTTTTTATTATACCCATCTGTTATTCTTACTTTAGTTATTTGCCACCCTCAACTCAAGGCCAAGGGGTGGCGTTCTACATTGTCTTAGAGTTGGGAATTTGGGATCCATCCCTTGAACCCATTAGAACATCATAATTACTACTCTGGTCTGGCCATTGTTAAAGTGCTTCCATCAAAATGAGATTTTTGTTTGTTTCCTTTCCAAATTCCAATTCAAATGCGATTTTGAACCAAATACTTGGGGCAGAGATAAAGAAATTCTATTAAGATGTGGGTCCATCTTGTCTCGTAGTAAGTGCCACGTGGTAAGTTATTGGGAAATAACTTTTATATTAACTCCAAATGGGGATCGAGAGGAACCGTTGTCTGTACAGGGTCCAATACTACCAGCTCTTTGCAACTACATGTGTCTTCAACATTCAATGATACAAATATAATATAAAGCTATTCAAAGACAGATGAGGTTTCATGCCAGAGATAGTGCGGGTGTGTATGACATTTTGGTAGCAAACATGACACAAGACATTTTATTATTGTACCATCGAGACTCAAGAGTGGGAAATACCTCTCAAATTCAAAAAATAAAAAACAATTTTCCAACGGCCCTTGGAAAAAAATCAAACACAAATTGTGGAGTTCTTTTTTTTTAGTCAAATTTGTTCCACTTCCACCAAATAGTTCTTTTTCTTTCATTTATTTTTAATGTTAATTGTTAAACGTGAATAATGTAAGTGACACTTCTGGACAAAGTAGAGTGCAATTTTATGCAATCAGTAGGATAACCGTTAGATTAATATGTTAATCCATATCCTCCGTAAAAACAGTAAATAAACACGTGTTTGGTGATTTATGAGAAAGCAGCCTAACGGGACTTAACAAAGTCCAACATCCTCACTGCTCAACCAAACAGAGGCGGCTAGCAGAAGCCCCTTTGGCTGCTTCAGCTTTGATTGAGCTATATTGACTGACCCGCTTTGATTTAGCTACATTGACTGAGCCCGTTTTGTATAGTTGGTTTAGGCCATTAGGGGGTGCAAATCGGACGGGTTGCGCTGGGTTTCAACTCTACCCAAGCCTAGAATTAATTCACCTTAAAGCCCGAGTTTTAGGTAAAGTTTGAACTATCCAATCAATTGGCATGATACCCTACTTATAACTAATTAACTGGCATCATAAAAGGTGGATTTTTATTAAATTATACAAGGGATTTTGATTGGTGAAAACCTTTTTGTTCAAGCCCAGCTCAAAAATTTAAAAAACCCTAACTTTTGGGCCCAGGGCCAATTCGAAGATCGAAAATCCAAGTCCAGCCTATTTAAAATTGTGGACTGGATTGATCTAAGGCTTAAAAAGCCTAGAATTTATATTTAATGAAAACCGGAAATGTCCGAAAACACTAAAATTCAGCTGATAATTTGACTTTCATGTGAAACTAGTTTTAGTTGCTTCTTCAAATCAATTTAATCAATAGACTACAATCAAAACAATAGATTCTAAAATTGATTTCAATGGAAAGCTTATTTCTTATTTGAAATAACACATGTTGCTGTTTTAGATGGATCAAGGGCAATAAAGTAATTTTGCTTCCAAGTCGAGGGTTGATTGATGAGTCCAAGGTCCGCTATGGCCGAGGGTATGTAGGCCAGTCTTGTGAAGAGAGAGAAGACATCAGAGGCCTCGGGTGCTAATCCGAGGCGAGGACTTCGACGATCAAGTTAGTAAGGATTGAGAGTGTGACAAGAGGTGTACGAGGCCTGAGTTTGGAATGCTCAAACGAGATCACAAGGGAAACAATGAAATTTTCAGTAATGAAGAGCCTAGATACTCACCTTGGGGGGGAGGGGGGCGATGTCACTCCCTATTTATATTTGAGACTGCCTAAAGGTAGGTGGGCACGAATGGCCAAGATGCAGTCCGGCCTTGTTGCGCGGCCATCCGAGACTGCCGCGTGCAATTGCGCCATTGGTCCTGCGTCACATGTCAGCCTCTGCATTAGGCAATGCTTCCTTTGGGTCTGCTCGGCGTGCCGCCTACTACCACGTATGGGCGTGTCATTGACCCTGGTTATAAGCGCCTACATCAACACGTATTTTCAGTTTTCTAGGGTTTTCATCAAAGATATCTTTTAGGTTTTCCACGTGAAGCCCACCTTGCAAAGCCAAAATCCAATAGGTGAAAGCCTCCCATATGAGCATGTATTTGATCCACTAGCATGAAAATCAAGAGGAAAGAAAATATGGAATTCAAGAAGATCCAACCATATTGGCTGTAGGACTCTTTATCTTTTTTGGCGTAGACACAAAAGTGTGAATTGAATTATAGTTATGGAAATGTTTTATTTTGCCATAAATAAATAAATGTGGCAAGTGGCATCACCGTCAGGGTTGTTAATGGAATCCAAAAGTTCTCTTTCCATATTTTTTAATTGATCTAATTAATTAATTAATTTGTATTCAATTAATAATTGGTTTGGATGCAGATTTAATTCCATCCAATCTAATTAGAATTTAAATCTTATTATTTTATTATATAGTATATAAATATAATTTTATCTTTACTATTATAAAATGGATATCTGTCTTGATTTTTTTAGGTCACAAAAATTAAATTCAATGTACAATATCATCTTATATATTCTTATCATTTACTTGCACACATGCATGCTAGCATGTGCACATACTAGTATATTATAATATATAATAATAAATTTTATATAAAATGTATACAAATATATTCAATATTTCATTTTTATATAAATTTCTAATATAAGTTAAAAGGTAATTAATTTTTTTAATTATTTAGTTCCTTTCCTTATTTTAAAGAAATATAAAGAAGACTTAGATAAAATCCAAATCTGATAGGATTTGGATTCAATCAAAGATCAGATTTCAAATTAGATTCAGAATTCAGCTTTTTTTTTATCAAATGAGTTCACTTTTGATATGATATTGCATAGCGCAGGGCTAAAATAGAAAATCATGGCCTTAGATATACTGCAATGGCCCCACCAAAATCGGAGGCTTTGGTTTAATTGTTTCGGCATAGGGCTACAACAATGTTGTAGCAAATGTGGGTTGTACTCAAATATGATGTGGGTGTAAACTAGGTCTGTTGTAGACAGTTACGTGGAACCCGGATTCTAACTTCTAAGCATGGTTTTAAAACTGGACTGGACTGGAAAACTCGAGAATCGATTAGGTAACCGGTTATATTTCACCCTAAAGTTGCTTTTTAATCAAAATTATTGATTTGGTCAGCGACCTATTGATCTGAGCAGTTAAATCATCGACTCGGACAATAATTTTTATACCATTTATTTATTTATTTTTTTTAAATTAAAATGGGCCATCCATTCAAACATGACGATTGAACCATTTTACTGAAAAATGGAATCCAAACGGTTCCATGTCCTATCAAATTTTAAAAACCTTGATTCAAGTATCTATAACCCCTATATATTAGTAAAGGCATAGCAGTACTAAAAAGCATTCCCTTTTATATTTCTAAATCAACCCCTTTGGTAAATGTACATCCAATTAACATATAACATTTTGACATATCTATTTAACAAATTCAAAGGAAATGTAAAACTACAACCTTCCATCAACAAGTAAGGAGATCAAATCAGCCCCCCACAAGACTGCACCACTTTTGATTTGATTTGCACTAGATATATCTAATTCTTCTCCATGTAGAATTAGAACTAGATGATGGATACTTGGAATCTAGAACAGCTTACCAACCATTAAGGAGAAAAGCTTTCATTAGGGTAAGTTCGTGCCCACACTGTTCTAACCATCATTTACAACCTTGCATTAGAAATATCTCCCAATGAAATAAAACATATAAATATTTAGGAAAATCTTCCCATAAAATAAAGCACGTAAATATGGCAGAGGTATTTTCAATGTAAGACTGTAAAAACTGCTCTAATAGGCTTTACTCTGACGAAGCTAAACTCACCATTGAAATTAAAGACAGATCATCGATTGGATATGACCTATCCGGGTTTGGTCTGTTTTTATTTATGGAATTATGGGAAGGGATTAGGGAGGTTTGCCTAGGCATTAATGATAAACCTCTCTACTTTCAAATAAGAATACAAACACTGAAAAGTGAAAACATCCCTTACCAGAAACGCTTGACACAAATAAATATATATAAAAAAAAAAAAAACTGTAATAGAGACAATATTTAGGTAGATCGTGTAACGAAGACATTGAAATTGTGACTTTGCCCTTATCATCAATCTAACTACAACACTGCTCTTTTTTTTATTAATGAGAATATATTTGGTGAGGTTTTTCCTTCCTAAACTGACTTTTAAATAAGCACTTTTTGAATAAGTCAATACTTTTTCTGAGAGTTGGG